CTCCTGGAAATTGATGGGAAGATTTATGGGTAGCGCGGGAACGAAGTATAAACATACCACAATGATGGAACCAGAAGGCTCACCACAATTTTTGTTCAGTCTATAGGCAATGCAAGCGGTCATGCAGCCGATGGAGGTGCAGACTGGGGCCACTTCCTATAGCATTCGGTCAAAAAATCCCTTATTTCTTTTTAAAATTAGCTATTATTTTACCTCCATCATTCGCTGGTGATCCTCAATACCTTTAGGCATTTTGCTAACGCTTTTCTTCTTCGAAACCATCTCTAGAGTACCTCTAAAGTGGCAAGACTTATCGCACACCTGCAGCTCATTCTCCACGTCTCTCTCCAGGCATTCCACGTGGGGCTCGAGCTCTAAAAATGACCTTTATTTATAATATACCAAGAATGACCGAATCATACCCTCCTGCCTTTCATTGCACAACTCATCCAGTCCTTCGAAAGCTATGTCGAAAATAATTCCACCATAGCATTCCTCACGCTCTGCCACGCATATCGAAGCGTTATTGTAGATCCTAAATTTTAGCAAACAAATTATCAAGCTCAAATTTGTAGCACCTAACTTACGAGCAAAGATGTTTGAAATTTTCCACGGGATTTTCTAACGTTATGAGCTCAGCGGCTTTCGTAAATAAATCGGTTAGACAATTTTGAGCACAAAGTCTTAAACCAGTTGCGTCAATTACGGTCGGTAAATCGAGCTCCTCTGGTTTTTTCTTGGTACTTTTACCTGACATAAAGTGTATTAGAATTCATGAGATCACACGAATGTCTTACCCAAGCATCCTCCAAAGGCTATGAGAAGAACTAGCCAGGTTAGGTTCATACTGAAAGAATTTTTATTTCAGAGAATCGGAAAATCTTGTAAAGACTAGGAAAACTGGAAAACTAATGACAGAATGGCGTGGAAAGCTTATTATGTTCCTCGAAGCTGAAAGCTCTCTGTAATAGGACATAATTGAAATTATTAAGTTCTTCAGAAGGGAGACAAAGCGTGAACAACTCCGTCTTGACAACTAAAACTCAC